CGATAGAACATGAGATTGAAACACTCTTTCGACATAGGAGACATGCTCAATGTGCTCGAGGAAAAATGTATCAAATTGGAAACCAAGACATTGGTCAGGATGACAGAATTCCAAATGCCACGGCATTAGAAAATGCTGAATCTGCTGGTAGGTCACGCGTTATTCATGATCATTTAAATCCGATGTTGGATGACTTGAATCCTGGAATTGTGGCACCTAAAATTCAAGCTGCATATATCGAGCTTAAACCAGTTATGTTCAACATGTTGAATTCTATTGGGAAGTTTGGGGGTATGCCAACTGAAGATGTCAGGTAGCATATTCGAAATTTTCTGGAAGTTTGTGATTCTTCCCACCAAGAAAAAGTGCATGAGGATGTTCTGAAATTAAAGTTGTTTCCGTATTCATTGCGTGACCGAGCAAGGACTTGGTTGAGTGGTGTTCCATCCGGTTCGATGGAATCATGGGTCGATCTTTGCAAAAGTTTCTTATTGCGGTACAACTCACCAAATATGAATACTCAACTAAGGAATGACATAGCATCCTTTCGCTAGGGCGACAACGAATCCATGTATGAGTGTTGGGACCGTTACAAGATTTTACTTCAAAAGTGTTCAAATCATGGTTTTCATGATTGGACTCAAGTAGTTATATTCTATAATGGAGTCAATGCACCCACGAGGATGATGTTGGATGCCTCGACAAATGGGATATTATTGGATAAATCACCTACTAAGGCGTTTACTATCTAGCACAAAATTGCTAATAATGATTATCAATTTTCTTTCTCAAGGCTTGAGAGTGTGAGAAAAGAACTTGGAGCATTTGAGTTAGATACCAAGGATTCGGTATCCGCTCAACTCTCAGCTATTACTAATATGCTGAAGAATTTACAACGTTCCACTAATGTGAATAAAGTGAAAGCAACTAGCTTGGCATGTCTATTATGCCAAGGTAATCATCACGAGAGCAAATGCCCAACCAACCATGAGTCCATCAACTTTGTAGGTAATTTCAATCGAGGCAACAACAATCCTTACTCTAACACTTATAATGCTGGATGGTAACAACATCCCAATTTCTCATGGGGAAATCAAGGAGCACACAATACTAATCAGTCCACTCAGTTGCAGAATCACAATGATCCTCAAGGTTACCAAAATTATATGCCATGGCACAATACCAACAAAGAAGCTTCATCTTCAGCAAGCATGAGTTCATTGGAAGCTATAATTCAAGAGTTCATACCTACTATGAATTCAATGCTTCAAGACCATTCTACTTCAATTAAGAATCAAGGAGCTTTACTTCATAGTCAAGGCGCCTTACTTCAAAGCCATAGCTCGTCTCTGAGAGCTTTAGAAAGTCAAGTTGGTCAGATTGCTACGACATTGCAAGATTGTTAGCAAGGATGTTTGCCAAGTCATACTGAAGTCACTAAAGCGCATGGAAATGAGCATTGTAACATGCTAACTCTTAGGAGTGGAACACAAATCAATCAACAAGTCAAGGCTAGTAGGACACAACATGATGACTCTGCTCCCACTATTGACAATAGTGAAGCTGAATTACATGATGATATCATCTCTGAGAATGATAAGGAGGAGGGTTCTACTACTGATTATACTAAGGCACCATATTCTGATGCCAAGGCAAAAGCAAATCCTATTCCTGCAGTTAAGAAAGCTAGACCCCACCACCCTTCCCGCAAATATTGAAGAAGCATAATGATGAAGTTCAGTTCAAGAAGTTCGTGGACATTCTTAATCAGCTCCATATTAATGTACCTCTCTTGGAAGCTATTGAACAGATGCCAACGTAAGCTAAATTTCTGAAGGAAATCTATACCAAGAAGAGGAAAGTAGAGACTTATGAGACTGTTTCCACGACAACATAATTTTGTTCTTCATTGACTAAGTTGACACCAAAGCAAAATGATCCGGGCAGCTTCATTATTTCTTGTTCGATAGGAGCTAATTTCGTTGAAATTCACTATTTGATCTTGGCTCTAGTGTCAACTTAATTCCAAAATCTATATTCTTGAAGATTGGCATAGGAGATGCAAGACCCACCTCGGTTATTTTACAACTTACCGACAGATCCCATGTTAAACCTGAAGGGAGAGTTGAAGATGTCATAGTAAGGGTGGATAAGTTTGTGTTTCCAGTTGACTTCTTGATTTTGGATTGTGAAGTTGATGCCAAGGTACCTATTATTTTGGGAACACCTTTCTTAGCCACTGGTCGTATTTGGATAGTATATGAAAAATGTGAAATCACCATAACAGTGGTTGATCAGTGTGTGACTATTAATGTGTTTCGAACTCTCAAGTATGTCGATGACACTGAAGAATGCCAAGGCATTTCTGAATTGAACTCAGTAATTGAAGAATAGCTTTGCCAGAATAATTTCATTAAGCTAGCAGAGAAGGAATATTGGGTGGATAATGAAAGCTTAGTGGAGTATGACAACTTTCCAATTTTGGATGAGTAATCTAGCTTACTATAAGCTAGATCAATTATGAATTTTGAACCTATGAATTTTGATGAATTTAATCCTCCTAAGCCTTTATTATTGCATGTACATCATTATTGCATGCACATACTCTAGAGCTTAAGACTTTGCCAGGTCATCTTAAATATGTTTATATGGGTAACAATAAAACTTTACCGGTGATTATTTTCACTAACCTTACTGCTAACCAAGAGCAAAGTTTGTTAAGTGTTTTGATGCAGCAAAATAAAGCAATTGGTTGGACTATGAACAAATTGAAATGAATTAATCCTACAAATTGCATGTACAAGATTCTGCTCGAAGACTGCCACGACAATTCGATAGAACCACAAAGAAGACTTAACCCAGTTATGAAGAAAGTGGTAATGAAGGAAATTATGAAATGGCTTGATGCTGGAGTAATTTACCCTATATCAAATAGCTCATGGGTAAGCCTTGTACAATGTGTTCCGAAGAAAGGAGGCACGATGGTGGTTACCAATGAGAATAATGAGCTATTACCCACTCGCACTGTTACCGGATGAAGGATATGTATGGATTATCAAAAACTCAACAAAGCTACAAAGAAGGACTATTTTCCTCTACATTTCATCGACCAAATGTTAGATCGATTGGCCGACAAAGCATTTTATTGCTTTTTGGATGGGTACTCGGGGTACAATCAAATTGCCAACGCACCAGAGGACCAAGAAAATACTAAATTTACTTTTCCCTATGACATTTTTGCCTTTAGGAGGATGCCTTTTGGACTCTATACTGCCCCGACAACATTTCAGTGTTGTATGCAAACTATCTTTTCAGACATGGTTGAGGATTTTATGGATATATTCATGGATAACTTTTCTTTTTCTAGAGACGATTTTGAACGATGCCTCGGCAATTTGGCAAAATTTCTCAAAAGATGCGAGGAAGCTGATTTGGTCTTAAATTGGGAAAAATATCACTTCATGGTGACTGAAGGCATTGTGTTAGGCCACAAAATATCTCACAAGGTATCGAGGTAGACAAGGCAAAGATTGAAGTAATAGAAAAATTGCCACCACCAACTTCGGTCAAGGGTATAAGAAGTTTTCCTGGATATGCTGGATTCTATAGAAGATTTATCAAAGACTTCTCCAAGATTTCTAGGCCCTTGTGCACATTGCTTCAACAAAACCAACCCTTTGTGTTTGACGAGTTATGCCTCGGCGCATTCACTGAGCTGAAACAACGATTGATCTCGGCACCTATTATAGTTCCTCCCGATTGGAAATCACCATTTGAGCTAATGGTGATGCAAGCGATTATGTCGTAGGAACTGTTTTGGGGCAACGCCGAGGTAAAGTTTTTAATGTTATATATTACTCTAGTCGCACTTAAAATGAAACACAATTGAACTACACCACCACTGAGAAAGAATTACTTGCTGTGGTATTTCCTTTTGATAAATTTAGACTATACCTAATAGGTATTGTTCACACTGATCATTCGACTATAAAATACTTAGTGAACAAAAATGATGCAAAGCATAGACTTATTAGGTGGATCTTACTTTTGCAAGAATTCGACTTAGAGGTGGTAGATAGAAAAGGAACTGAAAATCAAGTTGCTGATAATTTATCTAGGCTAGAGAACAATTCAGAATGCCATGACACTGTAGATATTCAATAGGAATTTCCTAATGGGAAAATTTTATATGCCACGGCAATCCCGTGGTACGCTGACCTTGTTAATTTTCTTGTTAGTGGAATATTGCCTTTTGATTTGAATAGCCAGGGTAAAAAGAAGTTCAAGCATGATGCAATACACTATTTTTGGTATGAGTCATATTTGTTTAAGCATTGTGCCGATCAACTCATTAGATGATGTGTACCTGAAGAAGAATACGTGACATTCTATACCATTTTCATTCAGCCCTAAGTGGAGGCCATTTTGGTGGAGCAAGGAATGCTGCTAAGGTCCTGCAATTAGGCTTTTAATGGCTAACTCTGTTTAGAGATGCTCAAGCATTTTACAAATCTTGTGATCGATGCCAGCGGACTGGAAACATATCCAAACGTCATGAAATGCCACTGCAAAAATTTTTGGAAATATACCTATTTGATGTTTGGGGCATCGATTTCATGGGACCATTCCCATCTTCTGGAGGAGATCTATATATCTTGCTTATTGTGGATTATGTTTCAAAGTAGGTGGAAGCAATAACAACATCAAGGAATGACTCTAAAACCGTACTCAAGTTTTTGTACAAGTATATTTTCACTCGGTTTGGAGTACTTCATGCTATTGTAAGTGATGAAGGAACTCACTTCGATAACAATTTGATTGCCAAGGCATTGAGGAGATAATGAGTTTGACATAAGATTTCCACAACATATCATTCGCAGAAAAATGACCAAGCAGAGATATCCAATCGAGAGATTAAGCAGATTTTAGAGAAAGTGGTGAACTCAAGGCAGAAGGATTGGTCACCAAAGTTAGATGAAGCACTTTTTGCATATAGAAAAATGTTCAAAACTCCTTTGGGAATGTCACCATTCAAGCTTGCGTATGGGAAGGCTTGTCATCTCCCGATTGAGCTTGAACAGAAGGCGTATTGGACTATTAAGCGACTAAATTTTGATGCTCAACTAGCTAGAGAGCATAGATTACTGGAACTTAATGAAATGAAAGAGTTTAGAGCACAAGTATATGAGAATGCTTGGATATACAAGGAGAAAACTAAGAAGTGGCACGACCAAAAGTTGATACCTTGTCATTATCATGTGGGCCAACAAGTATTGCGTTATAACTCCAGACTCAAACTTTTTCCTGGGAAGCTCAAATCTTGATGGTCAGGGCCATTTGAGGTGCATTATGTATATCCCCATGGAGCAGTTGACATCAATAATATAGAAGATGAGACGGTCTTCAAAGTCAATGGCCAGCATCTGAAAGCATATAATGGAGCTCCACCACCGTACAACAAGGTCGTGTTGTATCTGCACGATGCTGAAGAGTGCCCAGTTGAGAACCAAATTTCGATGCCGTGGTATTGAACTCTGTGACTGTGCATAAATAATAAATTTAATCTTTCCTTTATTTTAATTTTTATTCTTATTTTATTTTGTAGATAATTTTTTATTTGTTTTGTATAGGACCACAGTACTGCAGCCGTGCAAGGATCGATTACCAAGGGAGGAAAGGATAAAGGAATCAAATGGGGAAAAATATTTTTTTGATTTATTTCTTTTTCTTTTCTTTTATTTCTAATTTTAACTTTTCTCTATCCACTGTTTTGTCCCATCACCATTACTTTTACAGTTTATTTTTTCCTTTTCCATATACCCATTTACCCCCACCCACTCATTTCTTTTAACCATCCTATCACTCATTTCATTTTTAACTTTTTCTTTTTCTCTTTCATTTCTTCATATTCTTTTTTCATTTTCCCCATAGCCGAAATTTTTCAAGCTCTCAAAGCTTCTTCATTTTTCATTTTTCTTGCTTTACAAATATTTGAAAAAATGGCGCGCACAAGACCAACCAAAGCTGAAGCAACACTCCATTTTAGTCCGAGGTAAGCACATCATGTTTACACCATCTGTGATTAATAGATATTTTCATTTGCATGATGTTGAGGACCAACATGCCAAGTTCGAAAATGATGCTGATAGCACCACGTATGATGAAATCTTGAAGGACTTGTGTTTCACCAACACCGCATGGAATAGTCGCCAAGTCAATCGTTATTCGGTCAACCGTGAGCATCTACAACCGCGTGCCAAGCTGTGGAACCATTTTCTAAAGAACAAGCTCATGCCTACATCACACAGTACGACGATATATCTTTCTCATTTAATGTTTTTACATTCGATCATGGTAACCCGTCCTATTGATGTGGGTCGCATCATTGTTCATAAAGCTCATGAGTGTTTAGGTAAAAAGGCAAGTGATTTAGTGTTTCCTAATTTGATTACTGCTTTGTGTCGTAAAAAAAAGGTAAATGAGAATACTTTTGATGAGATTTTATCTGGAGTTTCGTGCATTACTAGGGCTAGATTACCATTACTATTGGGACTTGAAAATCCAAAATCTAAGGCCCTGCTCATGAGAAGTCTGTAGGTAATGAACAATCAAATGTCGAGGTAAGAATGCTTGCTCTCGAAGAAGTTGTGATGCAAATTCAAACTCACTTACATGCCTTATAAGGTGATTTTCGTAATTTCTTTGGTTATGTTAAGTAGAGAGATTTTGTTGTGGAAACGATGTTTCAAGAAATCCTTCCCCACATCCAACATAATTTTCTAGGCTTTCTGGATGAAATTCTGTCGGCATTCAATGTCAAGGCATCTCCTGAGCATATTTGAGACTGTGAATTCTGTATGTTCTCTATACTTAAGAAATTTAGAAAATTTTTATTAAGGAACTCTAGTTAGTTTTGGCATTGAAATATAGTATTGTGCTTAAAAGATAAATAAAAAATAACTCCCTTATATTTGAGACTGTGAATAAATGCTTAGGCATAGCTGTAGAGGGACACTCCTTTTTGTCGTGGCATTACCTGGAACTCTCTTTAATAAATGGCAGCCACGAGCATATGAGTGAATAAAATTAGTCACGGGATGACTCTACTCAACTAGTTCAGGGTGGAAGGTATGCTCCTTTTCACCTAAAGAGTGGAAGAGTAGGTGTGATAAGCTAACTCCCTTCGTAGTAACATTGCATATATATATATATATAGTAAAAAGGAGTAAAAATGTTCTTAATAAATGAGTAAATGCCTTGGAAAAAACTAGGGGACTTGATTAGAAATTGTCTAAATTTGTGAAGTATAGATTGGATACAATTACGCACACACGCTACCACAAAGGTTCTTGACCTAGGGAAAAGTACTTGAATTCTTGATATGTCTAGCGTGTTGAAGCCTATTTTTCTGAGGGTTGAAATTCAATTTTTGTCATATTGTCCTATTGTTGAAAATTTCCATGACATTCTGCTTATGTAATTGTTATTCATTGCTTGAGGACAAGCAATAGCTTAAGTTTGGGGGAGTGATAACTTCCTAAAAAGGCTACTTTAAGGCCTTTTTCACTTAAGTTACTATTTGTTTAAAAGCTCATTTTAGTCATTTTAGGATCATGTAGTTTCATATAGTTGTATTTGTGGTGGTATTGTTATTTTATCTCTTAAGGGTGTTGTATGAGAGAAATGTGCAGATTGTTTGTGGTGTGTAGGAAATAGCAAGCAAAAGGTCTCTTTGGGAAGTAATGTCGTGGCATAACACGTTGCTGAAGCAGATTGAAATGCATTGGCATTTCTGGCACAGAAAAGGATAAAAATATATTTCTATACAAGGACAACTAGTACTGCACGTGAATGATGGCTTTAACCGCCTACTAGGGGACCACTGCCACCTGGAGGATAAAGTTCACGCATAAGGTGTGACTCTAGGGGTATTAGGGGTGTTTTAAACCCATCAACCTCATCATTTCCCTTAAGTATTTTTGTTATATATTACACCTCACATGGGAGAGAAAAGGGAGACATTGGATTTTCAGCAATGTTTTCTTATCTTTTTCACAATTTCCTTTTCTTCTTCCTTGATTGGTGTTCCTCAATTGATAAGCTCCAAGGAGTGGCGAGCTAGGCGTCCGAGAGGAGCTAGCGAGCTAAGGCGATTCGTGGTGGTTGAGGAGAGCTCAAGTGGAGTACGTCGAAGGCTTCTTCTCCCTTCCCTTTGTTTTTATTTTTCTATTTATTATTGGGTTGTTGGAATGAATATTTCATGGCTTGTTCTATGGATAATTTGAACCCCTTTATAAATTAACCTTATTTGGTGGGGTTGTTTTGATGGTTGTTTAAACTTTATTTTAATGGTAGATTTATGTTTATCTTTGATATTTGCTTGCTTTACTTATGTATGCTTCATCGTCTAAGCTTGTAAGAGGCATAAGAGTGTCAATTTCTTAGATGAAGGTTAGGTGTTCGAGAGAAAGCTAAAAATACTTGTAGTATTCGAGAGAAACACAAGACAAGATCCTCATAAGCAATGGGCTATAATATTTTCATAAGCTTTGAACTGACCTAGGAATACTATATCCTAATCCATTAGTCCTCGAGAGAGACTAAGATAGGATTTCAACGACTAAAAAGGGTAGTTTTTTATCAATAGTGTAGGCTGTCATAGCTGAGACTGAGAGGAGATGACGTGGCATTCTATTCAGGTAGGTTCCTTTGACTAAAGATAGAGGGAGTACTTTCAGCAAACCCTGTAGAGAAAGTAAAGTTTAGATAGATTAAATCCACCTGAGAGATAAGTTTAGCATCCTTAAATTAATCTCTGCCATTTATTCCAGTGGAAGCTTGTCGTATGAAAATTATCAACTTATCTTTTATTTGGTGTTTTTACTGTTTTTCATTTCCTCTATTTTTCATCATTTTCAATATTAAATATCTACTCTTGCCACTACATTTCCATTTGATACACCATCAAACCATCAATCCATATCCACCAACATTTACTTTCCATTGATATGACATTGTACATATCAACACTAACTATACTTAGATAGAGTAGTGCTTTACTTTGGTTAGACTTTTGTAAGTTCATCTAATGCTTGTGGATATGATACTCACTCATCACTTTATTACTTGAGCGATTGTGTATACTTGCACATTATTTGCATATAATTTTATAGTACTCAGAACACGCAACAGAGACCTTTCATACTGCGCTTTATGGTAGTCAATTGTGTAGTAGTATTGAGATGTAATTACATCAATAAAATTCATAATTGTTATACGTGAATTTACTTTGAGGAGTGGAATGAAGGCATCACAAACCACGTGCACATCCAAGTTACGATGATCTTGACTGAGGCTACTAACGGTGTATGTATCAGGTTGGACATATTCTGTAAGCTTCCATAGGTTATTCATTATCTTCAAGCATGATACACGGACCCTCAAATTCTATCTTTATTTCTTGTAGACACATTCAGTAATGTTCTTATCTGGTGTTATTTTTTTACAGTCGACATAACTGAGCTATGTATACCTAGTTCTTAATGGCAGCCATGGTGAGTTATTTTGTTTTGAAGGTCATTTCAATATAGAGTTCACTATCATCACATTGGTTGTGTTACTCAATATGTCGGGAATTGTAAAAATTATGGAGTCCATATCAATCGTTTTAAAGTGTGATGATGGTTGGTAATAAGAAATAAAAGCGGTAGCATGTGGAACATTGATAGATGTGGCATGCTCTTCATTGTCTTAAACATCATGATCTACTCCCACTATCATGTCAAGGTCTTGGGGTTCTTCATAGAAGAGACCTACCTCATCACCATCGGGGCCAGTCTCCCTTACCGGTTCTTCGTCAAAATGACCCCCCTTAAATCGAAATAGTTTTACATCATCGAATGCTACGGTAACAAGTGTTGCAGCTGTGTGTCGATCACGAGACCACTCAAGAAACTTATTACCAAGATCAAAGTCGACAACACCAACACAAGAATGTCTCTCTATAGATGGTGGCACGCAATCTGCACTAGGGATATATGTTGAATATCGTATAGATGAGAAATCATCGAATCGGTTAAACACTTCATGGTCTAGCGAACTCATGTCATTTTGAGAAGACCACGCAGCCACATCCATATTGTATAGATTGTACATTGAATGTTGGGTTGGTGGTAGGTTTAAGTCAAAGTCAAAGCTATATACTCAAGAATGCCTTGGTATCGAAGAAGATGATACACCCAAGTCGTTGCATGTAATGTATGTACTTAATATGTTGAAGTCATTTCATAAATTGGTTTTCAGACTCTAAACATTAAGATCGAAGTTAAAATTTACCCGTCTCCAATTTGGGACTCCGATAGCATCATCATCATCCTCTCTATATTTATCACCAATATTTTTTACGCCATATTATTGTAAATTATTTGCAAAAGTTAAAGAGTGAAGATGAACGCCTAATGGTGCTTCGAATGAGTACGTCTTTCACTCTTTTGGGTTTAACATATCTTTATATTTATTATTTCTCATTAAT